TTCTTCATTACCTATTCAAGCCCGTCTCCCAGCCCATTATTAGTCTCAAAGTGGGTTCCTCGTCATCGAATTTGACTATATGTCGGCTTTTATTTAACTGCTAAATCCAAAGTACAATTTTAACTACTAAATTTAAAGTATCATTTAACTCAATTTCAGGCTATTTGAAATTATAATACGTAACATATGTTATTAATAATACTTAAAAGAGTCAGTGTGTAATACTCACGTAGAGATTAAATGAGCAGATCGTGTTATCAATAGGTCTCGAATCTCTTCGTTGGTAAAGAAGTAGAGCAACTCGGGATCAGGAAGTCTTCCTTCCTTCACCATTAATTTTCCCAACACGCGATAACGTTTCCTGATATTGTCTAGGGTTTTCACTAAAAGAGACTGAACATAACAAACTCTTTGCTTGACTTTGGCTCTGTATATTTGATGCACTTTTTTTATAGTGACTTCAGCCAAATTATACACACTACCACGACTTATATATATATATATATAAGATGTAGCTTTTGGTGAAACATGAGTTACTGCCGCAAGTGTTCTAAAAGTTACAGTGTATCACTACGAGCATATTTCTCAACAGATCAAAACACCTTAACGTCACCGACAAAAGAATATATTAAAGTATGTTACAGATTACAAAATAATCAGTCAAAAATTACTATAATTATTGTACTACCTTTATTTTTATTTTTGTTGAAAAAGCAAAACATATACTAAACAATATGGTATATACCATACGGACCACATAACCTTGTACACATTAAACTAAAGTAGGGAATGCGACTGGTTTCATCCCTTTAGGTTGTATTTAAGTTTTTAATATATTTAAAGTTAAGACTAACAACAATATTGTTCAAGAATTAGCAACACATTGTTATGTCCCCACAGAGTGGCATAATGTATTTCTATAGTTTCTTCTTCTTCTTCCAAACACTATTCAATCGACTGTCATTCCTTCATTTCTCGGCGGATTGACTTGAAAATAAGTAGGGTTATACCTTGGTCCAATATGCATAGAATAGTTTTTAATTATTTTTTTTATATAGACCTTTTAAAGGATTTTATGGGGTCAAAAGTCAAACAATCCAAAAATGTATATTTTGGGCTCCTATGCGATCATATTTACAGGAATCAATATAAAAATTAGCACAAGTATAAATTTTTATGCGCCCAACACGTCGACATAGAAAAAAAATAAAATTTGTATTTTCCTATTTTAAGTCTTTTAGAAGGGTCAGAGCTCACCAAAAAGCACAATTTGGGGAAGTTTGGTCAATTACTCGGTTGTATTTTGACCAATTTACAAGGGATTTGGTACAAAGATACCTTCTTGCAAGTCCCAAGCAGTGATATAGATATTTGTCTATGATTACCACAATTTTTCTAGAGACATAATTGGCCATGTTTGGATTACGTGGCGGAGACATATTACATTCACCCGCGAATGTTGGCCTCTTTAACTTTTTTTTTTAATTTTAAAGAAAAGCCACATTGGGTTATCTGCTTTGTTCACAGCAGGGAATCGATCCCCGGGTGTTAGTGTTGTAAGTCCGTAAACTTACCACTATCCCACCAGGGGACATCTATTCAACACTACATTTAATTTTGTCATAATCCTTTTATTTACGCAAACTATACAATCAAAAATTATTGTAATTTAAATAATTATGAATCACAATCAATTAAATACTTTTTCACTCTTCAAGTAAGCTGACAAAATAAATCCATAATTCGTTAAAAACCATATTTATTTTTAAAATAATAAATACATTATAATTAAAATCAAGCCTTGTTTGTTAAGCATTGTAATTTAAAACAAAAAATAGTGACATCTGATCAAAACGCTTTACATGCAAAGAAAAAAGCAAAGTTAGAATAAAGTGATCAGACTTGCTTGAGACTTTTGATGTATCGTATAGTAGTTATTGCCCTTTTTCATATTACACAAGCCTGCGAATTTAAACTTCATAAAAGTTGTTTTGGTTTTAATAACAGATTTTCCATAAATCAGCTACGCAGATTTCGAAAATAATATTCTTTTTTTTTCTATCACGTAGGGATTTTTTACAAATCGGGAAGAAAAAAATACTCTTATTTAGATCTAATTATTATTTCATTTACTACAATGAACATTTTTTATTATTATGTTTGTTATGTTTGGGTTCTAGAACGATCGATACGACTCACGTCGCGATTGGTCTAGAGAAATCTATAGCCAGTGGTTGTCAACATTTTAAGCATAACAAAATCCGATTTCAATTAAAATGATTCACTTATGTAAAAGTACGCATGACGTTTTGTGAAAAATCTGTACGTGATGGAGAAAAATGGATATCATTTTCGGATTCAGCGTACAGGAATTACTATAGAAAATGGAAAAATTTCAAGAAAATAAAAGCTACTCAAATGTTAACAGCTACTCAAATGGCACCCCCACACCATAACATAAATATCGCCATATTTGTCGTGTTTTGAGACGGTTTGACACATATTCCTGATAGGATAGTAACAAAGTCTGCGAATTGTGGAAATTTAGGCTCGTCCAAAACAAGTACAGTGTTGTAAAAGACAGTAGGGTATTGCTTGGAGTGAGGAACAACTTCCATTTATGTACTTTTTTCATTGTAATCCATGTTATGAAGTTAACTTACGATGGTAATGGGAAACCTCTACATATGTCCTGCAACAATAGCAGTTGTTTGTAATTGATCGTTCTCGACACTTCTCACAGCGAATAAATAGTCCGTTCTATTGGTTTTGGATGTCCAGGCTGTGCAGAAACTGTTTTCCGACGAGACTGAAATTGAAATGACTTCTTATTTGCTGTGAACACCGGCACTGCAAGTGACTTGACGATGATTTTTCGCTTATTTTTACCGCCCTCCCGTCGTCCAACTATGTTACCTCGTGCAAATACAGCTAATTTATGGGATTCTATCTCTCATGGCATGACTGTTTGTATTCTGTATTCGTTACCAAGCTATACTTATATTTATACGTCGGGGTTGTTTGCAAATAATAACATAGAAGTTGTTGTATTTGTATTTTCTGGGGCGTTTATTTACTTACTGGTAGTCTGTGTATGTACTTCAGGACGTATATTTTTTTTATTCCGAATAAAATTAAATATAATTGCATTCTTTTTTTTACTCTACAACAGATAGAATTAGAGTATTAAAATTAACATAATTCATTACTTACACAGAATAATATTTCAAGCTCGTCTACAAATATGTCAAATAAGTAAAATACAGTTGTGTAATGCATTTTTACCTGAACTCGCGATTACAGACATTAATGTAATCGATGCTTTAATGTATATGGTGTGAGCTTGATCGTACTCATTGCTTGCTTGAAATCTACATACAATCAATATGACTTAAATAAAGGATAAATTTGATAGATTATGGCGTTCGTACATGGCCTACAGCTTTGTTTGTTCTCGTTTACAACGAAATCACTTCAGCTCGACTATTTGTCATTTAGACTAACGGATAAAAGAACATGTTGCCTAATCTTGTCAGTTCTCCAATTATTTACAAACACCTGGACTCAGAATGTGAAGAAACTGCAAGCGTTTTCTTTTTTTTAAAGCAAAGCTACACTGGGCTATCTGCTGTGTCTACTGCAGCGAATCTAACCCTGGAATTTAACGTTGGAAGTCCATAAACTTACTGCTGTCCCACCGAGGGAAGAACTGCAAGTAATTTGGACTTCGAGATTACTTTCAGTGGGAATAATGAAGAAGTTCGTTATATAAAACTTAAGTAATATATAAATATACAAAACAAACTTAAACAAAGGACACAGCGTGAAGACAGCTTTAAGAAATAAACCAAGCTGACTCACCTTACTTCTTTCTCTCAAGCACACTCCGCGTCGGGCTAATGAGACAAGAAAGCGTAGAATAAGCCTGGAAAACAAAATACTTTTTATTCATGTCTTTATTGTCTATTATAAGCCCAAAATGCATCCTACATCAACTGCAGGATCATTCAAAAAAATAATATATGGTGTTAAAATACATAAAAAGTACAGTGTAAAATAATACTAACCCTAATTCTGATGTGTTGTGACATAAATGAAATATTACACTTCACCAACTTAATCCAGTTCACGCATACATATAGTGTGGTTGAGATTTGGTGATTGAAAATACTTAACCATTGGTTTGCAATCAGTATCTTGAATGCATCATTTTATATTTTTTTCTCTGGAAGAGTATGGTTAAAACTGTACACCTGATGCCCAACCCTACGGAAGAGTTACCAGTTCACGTGGCTATCGATCAACTCAAGTTTAAACCCACTTTCTTTTCTAGGTAAGTTAGCAATGTTATATATCTGAAATTCGCAGTAAATTTAAAGGTTATCGCTGTGATGTGTAAAAATTCAATAGGAATTTAATTTTGAGGGACAAAATATTATAACTAAAATTTTATTCTCGTGAACTTTAATCTTTAATTTCAGTTTTGAGCAAAAAATATAGTCGTATTTGAAATCCAAAGAAAAATGGAAGTAAAGATGAGTGTAAAGCAATGGTTAAATTGTAGAGCTTACTAAACATAGAATTACAATTTGTCTCATCACACTATTAGTAACTATATTTTTGTCTGACAAAGTAATAACCATCAGTCACCATCCCTAAGGATCTGTGTTTTGTGCCTAACACCATTGCCTAAATGTGTCGTAGGATCTTCATGTGACTGCACATTTAGCTGTTAGATGGACTGAGATAAAAGGTATTAACCCTAGCTATAGTATAAAGATTCTCATGCCAATAAATACAAAATTACTCTTGGATATAAGAAACTCAATAATAATTCCAAAAAATAAGCGTAAAAAGTTAACATATGAATCTTTAAGAATACTTTTGTTAATTTTTGACTTATATTTTTTTTAGAAACTCGTTAAACAAGTTTCGTATATAAAACAAATAAAAGACCGATTGACATTGAGCGAAAATTGTTTTACTTTTATTTTGTTATTTGTAAAATGAATATTTAATGTTAAGTACTCACTTGCAGTGATGTCACTAGATTCTGAGGGTCTTCAGCCCATGGTTTCGCGAGGAAGTCAAACTATACACATAAAAAGATATTTCGAAATATAGAGGTTACTAATATTTACTGAAATATTATGTTTGTTACATATAACTATTAGGTTAGTAGCGAGTGGTATATATATATATTTATTTGATCGGCTACAAATAAATCGAACTGTTTTGCACATTTGTAATCAATCAGTTACTTACACTAACATTCTGGCTATTGCACATCAGTCGTTGACATGGTTAGTATCCTATACTATAAAGTAAGTATAATTATCAATTATTTACTAATTTTAACTAATACAAATTAATCACTAACTAGGGAACTCTTGGGGTCTATGGCCCACATTTACAGGGTCGCTATAAAGTAAATTTAATATTTGAACTACTATTTTGAACCTTTTCAGTTTAATAATTATTGCTGCTATAATGCAAGCTTAATTTCTTCAGCCAAGTTACGAACGGTAATTAGTAGGCGTATTTATTTACATGCTCTAATGTAAGTCAATGTTAAATTTGCGGTTCGCTTTCGAGAAATCCCCGTAAACGTGTTTTTACGAAAAAACCGCGTTCACTAAAGGGTTGTGTGAAATGTTTTATATTTATGCAAACCTTGGGGCCGAGATGATCCGTTTGGTACCATTTAGACGTTAGTGTGACCAGCAGTTTAAGACAAGTTACGTGACACGCACACGCACACACTGGCGGAAATTATGTAAATTCATGATTAGTGAAAGATTATCTTAGGACATGAAAATATGCTTCCCTTGTATGTAACTGTAAAAAATGCAAAAACTGTGAAACACAAAATGTGAAACCGCAAGTTTGCATGTATCTCCGCATGTACCCATTGAACTTCCATACCAGATTTGGTGAAGATCCATCAACAGGGGCGAAGTATTGTTAAAAACGCAAAAACACCCATAAAAACCGCAAAACGCAAAACTGAAAGTTTGTATGTACCCCCGCATAGACCTAAAGAACCTCGATACCAATTTTGGTGAAGATCCATCCACACCCTGCTAGGTTGTTACATGGACAGACAACAGACAGTACTATTATATTTATGTAGATTAATTAATATACTACGTTTATATTCCAGATGAATATAATAAACTTTCATTTCTGACGTGATGGCACCAAGATACATAACCCATATACCAGAGATTACAGGAAACCCACAGGTAAAGGTAAATACCTCGACTATAAATCAAATCACCCTAATAGTGTAAAGACGGGCGTCATAAGTTATCTTATCTCCAGAATGAAAACATATAAGCAAACAGCATAAAGTCAGAAGAGCATTCAGAAATCACAATACATTACGATTGCAGTTAGCACACAACAAGCTACCTAAAGACTCTCTGGAGAGCGCAAACACCACTTACAACATCTTTTGTAAATGTGGAATCCGCTAATTCGTAGACATAAACAGATTAAATGTCAGTATTCAGGAGTACAATAGGCATGCGAATATCTTATAATAAAATGAAAAAATACTAAAATATCGGGATATGAACCACACATATAGAAAGATTAAAGATGTAATCTACACCCACCTAGCTGATAACACACGGTCAACCAGCCATGGAAGTCACCAAAATGTGGATACCACTCTTGAAACCATTAGTAAGTTAATGAAAGTCTTCTCAGTGAGGAAGACCATGGAAGAGTGAATAGTACACTAACCCATGCCACCCCTATAGTCAAGGCAGCAGATTAACAGATGAAACATGGTAATATAACTAATTAATAGCTAGTGATAAATAGCGATTATTTAATAATTAACGGGTTACTTGTTATTCACATCAAACTGTCAGTTTCTTCATTGAAAATGATATGATTGAAAACTTCAATGATAAATATTAATGAAACATATCTATTATATCCCAGAACTCATGCATACAAAATAAACAACTCTTGAAATTTACAGGACTTTAAGTTTTTGTTTTAATATGTTTGATTTTACGCGACGATATATATTTCTTTAAATCCAGAAAGATGAATCATCAATAATATGAAAATACGATACAATTACGTTTTAGCTTAGATCCATGTTGTTTTCTAAATAGTTCTAAAAGAATATAAGCACTTTCTAAAACAAGTAAAAAACAAATCCTTGAAAAGTACCTCTTTTAAGCAGCGATGACCATGAGCCGCTAAAAAATCTCGAAATTTGATTCCCACAGTACCTTCGTATGATTTCAGCCATTGAAGTGCTGTCTATAGGTTCATAGCTTTATTAATATGTTATATATATATATATATGCACACACACACATTCTATGTCTTTTCAAATGAAATATAAACAGCATATAATCTCATTATCACATTCGTATAATAATGACCAATGTGGAACTGCAATATAATATCAAGCAACATTTATAAATCATGTATCGATAATCTAATAATCGGTTTCTAAAAGTGTTTATGAAAATAATGAAACATAAAAAAAATGCTATTTTTTTTCAAGAAGGTCGAAACATTACTTCATTTTCATCAAGAATACAAAGACAAAAAATTAACATTTACAGTTATTTGATTATACCACGAACTTTTATAATACGGAGATTCAGTAAGATTTGATATTTCCAGTCACTGTTTCTTTTAAAATCTATAAAAAGGCTAAATCACGTAAAATGGCGTGTATTTCTAGCTCTCGTGATGTTAATTTATTTGCCTCAGAATGTATCTGTAGCCAATATCCCCTTGAGTTTTTTTCTCCTATGCTTTGTTTTAAAATGTAAAACGAAAGAGAAACAATTCGCCCTATCCGTACTTTTGGATCACGGCTTTAGTTTACTTAAATTTACTTATGAAAAAAAAAGGTTTAAAATGCGAAAATCTAACCTGTCCGTCCATAGCTTCAAAAGTTTTGCCAAAACCAGATTTACAAATATCAGCTGCTAGTGTCTGAGAGTAAGATAAAAAAAGAAGTCGAATTATTTAACATATATCTCAGATTCAAACAAGCGTAATTAGGTTGGAATATCAGGGTAAAATATTTATAGACAATGATTCAAAACTATCAGGAAAGCAACTTATAATCTGAAACAAACTATAAATAAAGATGTTTTGAAAAACTAGAAATAACAGGAGACGATACTTTGATGTTGTTATTTGTGGAAAACATTTTTTTTCGTGAAGATGAGAATTTTCATTACATAACGGAATTGTGACACTACTCAGATTGAAAAACAACAAAAAATTAAGCTTTATTAATATATTTTTTAATCTGATATTTATAGCTACACTAATTAATCTTCTCTCAACTCCATTATGTAAACAGGAACTGAAAACGAATAACATTTTATCAACACAAAACAAATAACTGAAAGTTAAATCATTTTATACATAGGAATATCATTATTATTATTGGAAATTATTTGGCCATGAATTTTTAATTATGGATAATTTCTTTCAAAAGATCCAGCTTGAAGGTTAACATTTTGTTTCCTTAGGCTTCGTTTCTAAATAAGATGTTTGTCTTTAATTTAAATCAAAAGTATATATTTCTTTGTGGTATTACCTGAAGTTGCGCTGGAACTCCAGCACTTTCAACATTTTTACCGACAGAAATAAGAGTTGCTATGTCTTTTAACAGGTCTTCAAGGTTTTCTGTAAACACAACTTAAGTATTTTTACAAATCGATAGATGGCACTACATAATATTATTTTTATATAGTATATTCTTGTAAGAGTTTACAAATTTATTAAAAAATGTTAAAGCACTTTGCATTAAATTTTGTACCTTTATGGAGTTGCCTTGACCTCCAGTTCTTTGCCTTTGTCATCACAATTAATAATTCACAGGGTCAAACATATGACCATGTAGTAATATTTCTTCCCGAGCCAGTTTTTTCACTTAGTCAATTCAAAACGACTTTAACAAGAAGAGGATTTGAACATAACATCAAAATATTTTCTTCTTCAACTTAGGTGTTCTACACCACTAAATTAAAATTCATGCTATTAGTATTTTTAGACGTTAAAACTTATGACGATTGTTTATTTGTAATTAAGCACAAAACTACATAATATGCTATCTGTGCTCTGCCCACCACGGGTATCGAAACCGGATTATAGTGTTGTATGTCCGCAGACATAAAGCTGTGCCACTTGGGGGGGGGGGTATTTATGAGGCTATAACAGATTTCTTTCTTCTCCCCAAAGGTAAAATTGAAAAGTTAACCTGTGACGTAGAGGCCTAATCTATTCTTTCGTAATATTATAAGAGAAAATAAAATCCTTTTCTAAACGCTTACACCCGAACAGTGTCTTTAATTCTTAAAATTAACGGTAAGTTTTTACATGAAAATACACATACACGATTAGAATATGGCAAATCTCGATAAGCTTCATTTGCATCTGAGGTTAACTATATACTTTGCCATTGTTTTTACACATTATAGATATTTTCTCGCTAATGCTTGTGTTCTCGCTAGATGAATGATACATTTTTAACTACACATAAGTTTATGCAAGCATAAAAATGTCAGACATACACAAGTGATTAAAAAGACTACACAAAAATGTTTTTCGCGAAGTACTAGAAAAAGGATAAGCAATTTATTTTGTATATATATTTGTAATACAATGTAATTCATTTTTAGAAAATATAATAAATAAAATAATTAATTAGAACAAATTTTCTGAAGCAAGATAAATAAACATTTACAGTCATATGACGGGCATAATAAAAGATAAAATAAAGTCAAGTGTAATAACATTTAACAAACACTGGATTCTTTGAAACGACAGACAGCAACCAGATTTGTGAACACCTGAGCATGTCAAATAACGAAGAGGTTCTTTTTAGCTTCTGAAAAAGTAAAATCTCACATAGTTTTTATTGCCTCCCAGTGGTACAGCGGTATGTCTGCGGACAAAGAACTCTGTAATCCGGGTTTCGATACCCGTGGTGGGCAGAACACAGATAGCCCATTGTGTAGCTTTGTGCTTAATTACAATCATTTTTATTTATTGCGATTAAAACGTTATCTTTGAGTAAATTTATAGTTTTTAATCATTAGAATTACAGACAGACAAGTTATATATATATATATATATATTGAAATAGAAAAAAAGTATTGCTCACTTCACTATATATTGAAACCCTAAAAAATCATTTATTTAACAAATTAAGTTTTTCCTTCTGATTGTTTGTTCGTTTGTAATTAAGCACAAAGCTACACAATGGGCTATCTGTGCTCTGCCCACCACAGGTATCGAAACCCGGATTCTAGCGTTGTAAGTTCGCAGACATACCGTTGGGCCACTGGGGGAGGGGTCTCTTCCTTCTGAAAACTATCAATTAAACTATCTATAGATAAAATTATTAATTTATGAATGGATAAGTTTTGAATTTTTTTACAAATACAGAATGACTTCATGTGGTGGGTGCAGTCATAAAAACAAATATTCACCTTTATAGTTGTCTATTAGTTGGCCAAAAAGTAAGGTGTTCATCATCGATGAAAAAATAGTTTCAACGTCATGAATATGTAGTGCCTACAACATAATATACAAAAAGAATGTTCAAAAATTACGTCTTTAAATGAGACTTAAGTCACAAGCTATGACTTGGTACAAACATGTTATCTATCTTCCACGTTAGTTTAATTTAATGGAACACTAAAAGAAGCGATGTTATGTGTTTCATAATTAAACATGTGAAATAAATATTTTTAACTTTAATTACCTAGTTTAGCTTCCTTTATTTTTACGGAAAGACAATCTGCTCATTTTTTATAAACATGACTATACTACATGAGATTAGGCTCAAGATATTGCTAGTCTAGACGTACCTCAACCATGTCCGTAAGGTGCAATGTAATGTATTCGTACAAGCTTTTGGCTGACTTCATTGCTTCTGGAGGAATTCGAAAATCTGAAACTTTCTGCTTCACTAGTTTCAATGTACGTTCGGAAAACGATACTCCCTGTAATAAACAGGCTCTTACAGATAAAAACCTTTAAAAAACTGTTCCCTTTAGAATATGTGGCATGAAACTAATATAGAGGAAAGTTCAGAACGAAATGCAGTAAAACATACTTATAATGATTTATACTATGGCACTTATATATTTACCTCCAGCAAGGACAACAGTGTCTTCCACTTGGCAATCTTTGGGATATATCCAAATCGTTGGATTATTCTTTGCCTCATTTGGTCTCTTTCTTCCAGAAATCTGCCAAAAAGAGACAACTCCCAAGCTCTTGAGATCAAATTTTCTTCTTTTTCCTCTATTTCTTTCATAATAGTCTAATTCAGAACAGATGGCATTAAGAACAATGCATAATTATAAAAAAAAAATCATATACCCAAATTAGCTTTCTTCGGTAGGTATTTAACATTAATCTAGTCTGACTAAAACCAGAACCTACACTAGTATGTATTAGGTCGTCAAGGAATTAATGTCACTTTTTTAGATGAAAACACCCGAACAACTTATATATCAAAACAAAACATTTATAAATGAAATAGTCTCCATTTTTATCGATGATGCTTTTCAATCTTACAATCAGGTTGTTAGTTAATGCCCTGATTAAAGAAATCACTTGGCTTTGAAGCAAAAAAACATGTCGATGTCCTTTTTAACACCTTCCACATTTGCATAAGTTTTCCCATTAAGATGGTGTTGCAGCGAGCAAAAAAATGGTAATCTAATGGTGCCATATCTGGACGATATGGTGGGTAGGGGAGAACTTCCCAACCCAACTCCATAATCTTGTGTTGCGTCAAACGTGTCAAACGTGGACGTACATTGTCGTGGAGAAGAAGCACACCTTTCCGATTGAAGGGCGTTTCTGATGAAGGGCTTGATTTAAACGTTCCAGTGCTGACTATAGATATCTGCATTTACAGTTCGTTGTGGATTGAGGAGTTCGAAATGAATTACTCCTTTGATGTCCCACCAAATGCAAAGCATCAGTTTCTGCGGGTGGAATCCAGGTTTTGGGATCAGAAGTGGTTTTGTCTAGGACTGAGCCATTGTTTTGGCCGTTTAATATTCGCATAGAGAATCCATTTTTCATCACCGGTGACAATTCTATCCAAAAATAGTTCACGCGCATTACGCGCCAGAAGAGACGAAGCAACGTTCACATGTTGGAAATAATGATCATCGGAGAGTTCGTGAGGCAACCAAACACCTTTTTTAAGGAGTTTTACAATATTCCTTAGATGTTTAGATATTGTTTCATGAGAGACATGCAATTTCACAGTCATTTCACGAATGTGCTGCCTTAGGTTAGACTCAACAAGCGTCTTTAGAGCATCAATATCAATTCCAACATGTCGGCCCCTGCCATCACAGTTATTAAGGCTAAAGTCACCTGAACGATATTTGCGTTTACAAACGTTTAAAACATTTCCATAAACATCTTTGATATTATTTGCAACTACAGAGGTGTTGTTTCCCTTCTTGTATTCAAACAGCATTATATGCCGAATGTGTGCCATCGCTATAAGGGAGTACACTAAATTTTACACATTATGCAGGCTACACTAACGAGACGTTTAGGCGGTTCGTTTAACTATTATACGTGATGTACGTTTTTTAGGGTGGGGGGGTAATGATAGTATTCCAAAACGCGACATTAGTATTGACGACCTAATGTATAACAACTAAGAATGAACGTTGCAAAAGAAACATCGCGTGAAAATTGGAATCTAAGAATTGAAGTTCGCAGCGCGAACTCATAAAAAAAATATCAAGATGTGTTACAGTATACACTGCTCACTATTATATCACTTTTGTTTTTCAGAATAATTTGTGCTAATATATACTTGCTTGCTTGTTTGTTTGCTTGTTTTGGAATTTCGCGCAAAGCTACACGAGGGCTATCTGCGCTAGCCGTCCCTAATTTAGCAGTGCAAGACTAGAGGGAGCTAATATATACCATTAGGTATCACTTTAAAACAGTTCATATAAAATATTACCCACTCCCCCCTTTAGGCGATCTGCAGTTCATATTCCAAGAAAGAAAAACTTATTAAAATGCCAAGACCGGAGTTGTAAGTATTTTCTACATCAACTGTACAATAAAGAAACATATCTTTAAAAAATATATTTTTCCGGTGACTTAAGAAAAAGAACAGAAGTGATATTAAAACTGAGTAATATTTCAGAGACCAAAATCATTCACTCTAGAAAGTCTCTAGGCTGGTACGCTGAAGAAAGTACGTAATTTGTTTGCATAATTGCTATCCTTATTCACAACGAACTTCAACCCATTAGGCAATCAAACTAAAAGACTTCCATATATATATAAGTAACAAAGATGTGATTTCCAGAAAAACTGCATTAAAGAATATTACATCCAAATAGATTTTTTTACGCTACATTAAGTTCATAATTTAAGAAATTAGCTGAAAAATCCACCTTAAATGGGAGATAATACGAATTTTAGACAGCAGTGAAACATGTTGTTGTCGCATGGTAGAAATATGAAGAATATAACTCCTTTTATCCTTGTCTAGTTCAATTAATAAAAAGAGACATAGAATAAATTAACTGAAGCAACTGCTTAATTATTTTCGCAAATTTCAAAGTGAATGGGTTTATGCTTCGTGAACTTACCAGGATTTCTAGAAGAATAAAGAACTATAAAATAATACATTTTAGTCTAAAAAACGTGGTTTAAAATACTACTATTAGTAATTTTAGCCTTTCAATGGCTCAGAGGTAAATCTGAGGGCATATAATGCTTGAAATCGGGTTTCTATACCCGTGGTGGGAGCAGCACAGATAGCCCATTGTGCTCAACAGCAAACAAATGAACAAAATTTAATGATTTTAACACCTCTAGAAATTAAGGGAAATTAAGAGATATTCTGATGTTAAACGCTACCGATAAAGCCATTCGCTCAAAAATATAATTAATTAGACATGCTGTGTCTCATGAACCCAAAGTCTTAACATTATTGTTTATGGGGTATGACAGTGATAGTATGTGTTTAATATTACATTGAATGGCACAATACCTAACGAAGCGTGACCAAAAAAAAAAAAAGGCTTAAGAAATAAGCCTATTGTTTATATCGAGAGTATAAAACAAGAATATTGTTACGTCTCTGGTCGTTAATTTCCCGTATAATTTCTTTCCGATGAAAATTTAGCGACACGAGTCCTTTCTTAAAAAATAAAACTAGTTTATTCTTTCTCAATACAACTTTGAAATTCACTTAATTTCCACGGTCATGCTATAAGTTAAACAAACGCTATAATTCACAACGAACGACTCACGCGCTCGACCCAACTGTCCGTCTCTATCTCTGTCTGCAATCCAACTACATTACATTGTTGCCGTCAGTTCTTGGCGGTCTTATATGCAAGAATACCGTACATCTAGTAACCTCTCGAGGCTTCATGAAGGGACATGAATTTTCTAGAAGCGCATGACGTGTTACTAGCGTCACGTGACCTCCGCTGTCGTAACAATATATTAAAAGTAGTTCAGTTAACTTTTGTTTGCGATAGTACTTCTCACTTAATATCAAGAGGCCAATACATCGGCTAGGTCTCAAAATTCAATGTCTTGGTTGAAGCGTTTTTTGAAACAAATATGTAAAGTTTATAAAACGTAGAATATAGCAAAGAGTCTAATAGAAATGTGCCTTTAATATAGAAATTTTAATTGAGGCGTGTCTAATGCCTGTAACCAGTATTAGAGCAATTAATAATAGATTAATAAAATCCAAAATATTTTGTATTTCATCAGATTGAACGTCAAACTACTTTTAATTCTATTTAGGATTTTAAACTGGTTGTTATGTTCCAACCAGTTGAGCAACTTCTGTAAAGTATATATTCAACGAAAATTACATCACACAAGCTTTCAATTGTGCTTGAAATTACATCACCAGTTTACCGATGATAAATGAATACCTACATTTCGAAAATGCTCGGGTCTTCGCAAAGCTTGCTTTAAAGCTCATTATATACAAAATGAATTAATGTAGAATTCACAAGAATCTCCAGCTAGTTACTTTCTATAAACGATGCTTATATATATATATATCATTATTTGTCTCTTTCCAAATATCAATATTAAAATATTAAAATTCAATAGTACTTTTTGTAATTGTTTCGTCATGAATCTGCTAATAATTATTGATTTCGAAGTATTTTATAACAATCCTTGTTTTAAGCCTACTCTTTACAAATAGATTTTACCATTGTAACCAAGCTAAGCTTGGTGTTGTAATCATTAAAGTCAGAACTTGGCTACAGCCAGTCTAAACTTACCTCTTCAATCAGAAGCATGGAATGATTGTGTGACATAGTTAGATCAGTGCACAAAAGTGGAATGTAAGGATGCCACGAACCTCGATTCTCATTCAAGTATAACTGAACAGAAAATATGAATATTTTTAATATGATATTAATTTGGAAAAAACAAATTCAAAATGTTTTTGAATGAAAGAACACTAATAACTTAATCAACATTGACCATTTCTACATATGCGTTGCTTACTAGATCACATGCTGAAGAAGCACATTTCAAACAATAACTGCTCGTGTTTATCTGGCGTTGTCCCCTACTTAAACTTATTAACAAAGTTAGAAATCACAACGAAAATTCTAAAGAAGTTCTATAGAACACATTATAGTAATACAAAGTAATATTTGTTTTCACTTATCATGGTTATGAACACTTTGTTTCCAATTTCCACAAATATTAATTTACTAATTAAGTCCTTTTTTTTCATACTGTAAGATTATATTGTGTTTTAAAAATAAATACAAATAAATAAGTATTTATTTTTATTACTATTATGGTATTTGAGACAAAAGAAGAAGAGCAAAAATAAAACAACTGGTGATATTAGCAGGAAGATATAAAATTTTTGTTAATTTTCTTACGAAACGAGTAGAATTGTACATAGTACACTCAATATTATACCATTATGATTTTAGATTTATCTTATTTTGTGCTTTGATGGGTCTAAACATTGAGTAAAAGTAAATCTCGCCGTCTTATTAAACCACCTAGATCACCCTGTGTAATTGCCTTGCTGTAACAAACAAAACAAAAAGGGCTCACTAATAACTAAGTCATTTGTGAAGTACAATATAGAAACATACCTTGAATTTATAGAAACAGGAAGTAACTCACCATGAAAGAAGCTCGCAACGTCATATACCCTGTTGTTAAGAATAAAGGCGACGTTGCTCCGGGCATAACTTCCCTGTATGTATTAAAGTAAACTTTAAAGTTCTACTAAAGCAGGGTAAATTTTAACTTTCAGAATCATTATACACTTACTTTAAGAATTATGACAAGAATTCTCAGACAGTGTTATCCATAAATGATGCTTTTATATGTACATTTTACTAATAATCATCCTTAAAATGTTTAATTATTACATCGAAAACAAAAACGGGATTCACTTCAGCTTGCATTAAAACTAAGATAAAGAACCAACATTAAAGTAAGTAGTTAAAAATAATTCCTTCCAATTTGTTTGTTAATTTCCCAAATATCATAAGAAGTTGTATTAATTCGCAAGTGTTTTTTTAATCTAAACGGTTAAATTAAGAAGTATTTAATTGTATATTAATACAGTCACTTTACAAATATTAAGCTGATATGAGGCTTTTGTATGTTTTAGAGCAAAGCCACATTGGATTGTCTCCTGCTGCCCAGATTTTAGCATTTTAAGTCTGTAAACTTACTGTTGTCCAGCCGGGAGACTGATATAAAGCAATAAACTGAACATCCATTGAATTAAATACGTGGTTAATTTAAATTGTGGACACTTGATAATTTTGAATTTTTAATACTGCAGATTATGTTAAACGAGCGTATAGCCCGTAAAAAATAACGGGGCAAGTACTACCACCCCCACTCCATAGTGTACCCTAACCTCACATTTCATAGCTAACTAAAATAAATACTGTTACGTCTCCGTTTGTTAATTGATTTCCCGTAACTTCGTTCCGACGAAACTTAAGCGACACAAGTTCTTTCTTAATAAAAACTGGTTTATTCTTTCTGAATATAACTTTACCGATACACTCAACTTCAACAATCGCGCTAAACAAACGCTATAACAACGAACGTGCTCAATAATACTTCTGACTGCAGATCAATTACTCACTGTCTACACACACACATTACATCCCCGCGTCACGTTGTCCCCTCTTATATATACCCGCCTACCCCATCTAGCAAACACTAGAGCATTCATGAAGAAACAAGATAGTTCTAGAAACGTGGCGTCACAGTGGTCATGTGACTCGCTGACGCAACAATACATTTTTGCGAAATCAAGCTTGATCAACAAAGAGACAGAAAAGTGCAGTCGAGGCAGTCAAACATCAGTACATTCCTTTGTAAGCCAATCAAAATTAAGATCATTCATGAAATGAATTCGTGGCATATTCATAGAATATTTATTGGTAAAAATCACTTAGATTAACAACTTATAATATATAGAAAAGCCAGTGCGTTTTGGTAACACTATGTTCCAACAATGATTTTGATGTCATGTTGCTTAGCAACGAAGTTATAACCTAATATTGTTGTTAGTGTATGTACTGAAAGTATAAAATGAAATGTATAGACAACAAAACTGGAAAAATATTTGTTGATTTCTTAATTCAGAGTCTCAGTTGATTAAAGAGGTTTGTTTTTTGTTTGGTGATATAATAGCTTAATTCAGAAACGCTTTAAGTTTAAAGTTGAATCTATGTTTTTACTTTCATGATTGTAACGAATTTTTTATTATATATTTATTTTATTATCGACGTTTGTTTAGATTACATTTATATTTAAAAACATATATAGCTTATCGTGTTAAACATGTATTGCGAAACTCCCGCCAATTCTCCAAAGTTGTAGAAGATTCGCAAGAGTAAGAATCAACAATATATATGTATATATACATAAACGCTTAAATTTGTATTGTTACGTTATCTGAATTTTCTAGAACGCCTCCACGCGGCTATAAATACAGCCAACGCGACTTGCCAAAAAAGAGTGTCTATTATTAGTTCGCTATAGTCAGTGTGCTATAAACTTCGGAAGCTATAACTGTGATTGTTATAACG